TTGGTTTTAGAGAAAGATCAATAACCTTTGCTGGAAAAATATTAGGTAATTTACCTACCTTCACCATTGTTTCTGAGAGACAGACCACAAAAGTACAAATTTCACCTACATCTACATATTTGATTAAATAGAAAAACTACGTGAAGGTACGTGAAGACGTAACAACAGTTTCGGCAGTTTCGGCAGTTCAGTAAAATATATTTTGTGACCTTTCTTTGAATCACAAAATATCATATGTCCACCTAAATGTCTATCGATAGGTTTTACTTATCTCTCCTTACCCATCCATCATCATATTATTTGTATTTTTTAAATTAACTGACTAGGTACCTAAACTAACTATTTATAAAGTTTAATGACATTAATTTTATATCCATTTGTTACTAAGTTGAAAAACAAAACTGCTTAATCAATTTCTATTTTTAAAAAGAAAACAACGTAAAGCGGTTGCCTACATTTCTCTAATTGGCCTTTTTTATTTAAGGGGGGAAAATCATGTAATGGTTTCTCCCGCCTGGGTGAGGCGGGAGGGAGTGTCAGACTCTTACTGACTAAAAACCACTCCGTTCCAACTGCTGCCCTTCGAGCCGGAGCCCCGGTAACCCGTTAAGTCCTCCGCGGCTCCGTATCGGCTCTCTAATTGGACTGACAATTTCAGGATATAGATCGAATTTTGACATTAGTCGTACCTATCGAGTTTCTTTCAAAAGTCGATAACAATTCACAGATTTTAAATTGAAATCGGGAATAGGTAAATCTTTAATTTTATTTATTGCACTTGGTATTTAACACTGTAATTATTTATTTTTTAATGTCACCTTTAAACTTCTGCAGGATTTCATGAACTAAATAAACAATTTTAGCCAATAAATATTGCTACCATTCGTGCGTCACTGCAGGGGTGCCCAACTGCCCGCTGCAAATCACTGCTGGGTGCACTAGCTTACACTGAGTGGGTAACCCTTTATCTTGGGCACGGTATTGGCATGTTTCTTTTTTGATTTTTTTTACATTATATATTTTTTCTTTATTTTATTTTTGCTGCATCGTTCTTGGTGCTGAATAAATATTTTTTCTTTCTTTCGAATAGTACCTATTTCGTAATAATGATATGAATGTAACATACCTCGCATATTAGGTTGTTCGTCCACTCGCTCTGACATCGTATGCTTCAGCTTGTCCAAATCGGTTTTGACATTCCTTAAAGCCTTTTCAAGCATTTCAGATGAAGAAGCCTTGATCATTCTTAGCATTTCGGACAAGTATTTAAGAATACTGTTTGTTCTTTCGTGGAACGTCGTATCCAAGTGGTTCATTTTTCGTTCCACAGACTCTATCATTTTCAAATATCTTTCGCTGGACATCAAGGTTTCGACAAATTTTTCGACGACTGTATCCCCAACAGTAGACCTGCCTGTGGTTGTCGCCAAACGGTTACCTTCGACTCTTTTCTTTGTATGAAATAAGTTATCTTCTGCTCCATCATGGCTTCTTCCTCGTGAAAAATCCGCTCTAGTCGAAACTATAACGAACAAGAATATAGGTACAATAATAACTAAATTCGACCACATGATACGGAACTTGCGACGCGTTCTACAATTCAAATTGTAATGATCAGTTTGGGTGTTACGCTTGTTTAACTTAAAGTCGACTTATTATAAAACATGCAGCATCCATTGTGAAGATAACAATATCACGGTGTACTGTGACTATTTTGACTTGCAAGTACCTACTTGCTTAGTGTGTTGTGAATTCAAATTTCTAGTGCAGGCACAGGTGCAGGCACAGGTGCAGGTGGTCCGGTGTTGGACAATATTTGAGTACATTCGTACCTGAATTTACTAAAAATAACAGTAAATATACTGGGGAGAATAGTCAAGTCACAGAGGAATTCTTCCTCGTGAGCAGCGTGCGCAGTCGCAGTGGCCTACCTACAGAAAGCTAGGTTTATTTATTATTATTGGTTTCGGTTGCATAGCAACTCAAAGCTATCTTCTAAATGTAAATAATTATATTATGATCATTTTTAAAACAATTTCTATTAATACCGATTGTAGTCGGGTGAGAGTTAATCCATTGTTACTTTCTTTGTTGACAGTGGGGTCTCATGATCGCCTTCAGACTTCAGAGCAAGATACTTTGTTTTGTTTTCCAAACCAAATAGCGTATTGAAAATATTTTTTGTCGAACTGGTGTCTCCCATTTATACATGAAAACGTTCACAGCTTATATAAAGTGATCTAAGGTAAGACGTTAAGGAGTTATTTTGCAATTTTTGTTGATTGTTAATAAAAAATTTGCTTGCTTTTATTTTATAGGATACGGATCACGTAATTTTAGCAAAGAGCGCCACCTACAGGTACCATAAGCACGAGAAGAGTCACAAGTACATTGCAGGAAGTTAGGGGTTGAATTGGGCCTCCCGATAATCTAACTCACACGGCGAAATACAAGACAAGCTATGTTTCACGACGCTTTTCTGTAAGCCCGTGGTCCCTGTCCTCCGTCCAATCGAAGCATGGCTCTCCTACACCTAAATTAACCAGAAGGCAGTCGTAACATACTTAGTCTTTGTCTGATATTCTGCACTTAAATAACACCAGGAACCACAAATGAGATTTTGACGTCATGTGCTGACTTTCCACTTTAAGTACCTATCTAGAAAGACAGCTGGTATTCAAAGCTCTGTGAAGAAAAAGTCGTACAATCAGGAGTCATCGCTATTAACAGAAACAATAGGTACCTTCATAAGTGTTACTGTAAATTGCATAAAAATGTCTTATTGCTATCCGCGACACAGTATAGCAATCACACGCAGTGGTGTGTTTACGAAAAACTAGGCACTAAGTAAATGATTACAGTGACAAAGTCCATTGATAAAAAGGGCATTTTAACTAAATTATAAGGTGATCTACACAATTTTTTTTCGAGAGGCGGTTATCGGCCACTGACTTCTCCCGATCGGGTGAGGGCGAGAGAGAGTATCAGACTCTTACTGACTAAAAACCACTCCGTTCCTACTCCTGCACTTCGAGCTAGAGCCCCGACAATCCGTTAAGTCGTCCTCCGCGGCTCCATATCGGCATCAGCCTCATAGGGCCCCATCTGTGGTGGTCTGATGGCTCTTAGAGGCGCACACGGAACGCAACGGAACGCGTTATGATTGGCCGGTGCCAATGAACCAACCAATCAGAGCGCCGAACGCGGTCTCATTTCGATTACTTTAAACATAAAACAAAACTCGCCTGTGATGGGGCGGCGAGCTACCCTTGCTCACCGTACGTAAGCCCGTGCTTATGGTGCCCAGAAACGTCTCACGATCTACCTACACACCGATGGACTTACATATTTTGGAATTGTAGTCATACTAGCTTAATAATAATATGTAACTTAATGAAGAAATTCCATAATTGGTCAATCCAAAGTGAAGTACTAAATGTTTTTCTGTTAAAGAATCAATTTCGTCATCATTATCAGCAGGGCCGTCATAGGGACATCCCACATTTAAAAAGCGCGGCTCCATCGCTGCCATTAAGTTGTCATTTAACTATGCACTTTAAATCGTATGTCGTATGATACATTTCGTAACGCCAATACAAAAAGCCGATGGCGGGTGGTTAGCGCGCGGTCCACTCAATGTGTAATAGAGGCGCCCGCGTGCGTACGGCACGCCGCTCGCGTGCCGACAACGCGGCGTCTGCGAACCGTCGGCGCGGCGTCGGCGAGTTGACGGCGAACCACCCACCAGGCGCCAACGAAACGACGTCGTATCGTAGTTAGTATTGTTAAAAGATTTCACTTTGCGGCCGGCGCGCCGGGCACACAATAATTCGCGACCCTTGTGGAATATATATTTTTTTAACGTTGCACCACACTAGGAGTTTCTCCTGTATCGTGGGAGAATTTACAAACATACAAATCCACATACACATGACACCCAGACCAGAAATAACAGTTTGTGGATCACACAACGATTTGCTCCATGTGGGAATGGAACGTTGTGGAGTAGCCTGTTGCCAACGTGTAGTAGGTGTGTGTCCGTCGTAGAAATTGTTGAAATATCATACCCTAAATTTGTTCTTACAAAAGTAGTCTGTAAACATAGAAAATAAAGTCTATAATGTAGTTAATGGAGAGCGGTCATCGGTGACCACTTGGGAATTAAAGAAGTCGGTCCTTCGGGGCCCCCTTAGAGTAGGGATCCTGAGCACGAGCCCCGAGTGCCCTTACAGTAAAAAGAATACTGATCATCAGTCTGTAATTGTCCCACTGCAGAGAGCCTCTGGTCTATGCAGTGGGACACTGAAGAGGTCCTTGAGCCGTAAAGATCATGCTTAGTCAAGGATAATTTCAAACTTAAGTCTAGCTAGCTTTACCTAGTTTTACGATGGTGCCCTTCAAAGAAAGTCAATAATTTGGAAAAAGTAACATCGGTATTTCGGTACAGATTTCGCACCCGTCTTCAAGTTTAAAAAGTGGTGCATTAACCTTTGGATCGCCTCGGTTGTGACAGGCAATTAATTTTAAGTAGGTAGGTACCTTCCTATTATCTATTATCTCTTTGTTGCTGATCGTGGAAACCAGTAATTAGCTTTTTGTGGTATGTCACATTCTTTTTTAATCAAATTGTGTAGCTGTTAGTTTCCCAAGTGCGAAATAAATAAATAAATAGTTTTGTAATACCTATATGCAAAAATAACGAGAATCCTTAACGGACTAGGAACATAATTACAAAAAAATCGAGATAGACTAGACTAGACTATGATTTTACTTTGTAACTCAGAGTTACTTTGAATATTCACCAAGTGATAATACAAATACAAACCAAAATTTTCGATAATATAACTGCGAAAATTTAATAAATGAGAACAATCTAATCTTGTTTACCTTTAAAAAATAAATGAAACAAAAAACAAAGTCTTACGTAAAAGACCAATATTCAAAATGCAAAGCCCCTAATAAATATTTGTTATCTGTATTCGTGTCACTCCGCGTTATGTATAAATATACGTTCTGTGTCACATACGTCGACTCGGCGCAGGAGTTTGTTTGTCTTCGTGTTAACGAATAACAAGGGCACAGTACAATTTCTGCAGATCAAAGTCTAACTAAAAATAATTCTAAAAAAATATTAAATTTTAGTGCCACTACTTTGAAAGAACAACCTTGCAATGAATCCCATAACTCAAGTAAGTGATTTTCTAATTACAACATGTATTTTAAAAGTTTAATTTATATTTAATGTACAATTTATATGTTATATTTCAAAATATAGCCGTAATTGATCATTCTTGTAGATCATAATGCCATTTTTTGGTTAAATGTGTGCCGTCCTGATTTAGTTTGCCAGTCCAAAGTCCAAAGATCATTGAACAGTACCATGTAACATTACGTACTCTAGATATCGGTATTTATAACTTTCTACTCTATTTTTAAAAACATGTTGTTATTTAATAAAACTTACTTACATACTCATGTCACACACTACAAATACACATAAATGGAAAGGTTAAAATTAAGTGGAAATTAATGAGATGTATCTTCCAATGAATGTGACAGAAATGTAACGACGTCTTGTAATTATTATATTATTTTACCTGTAAACATAACAATAATGGCCATTTTAAATTCTAAATTCAAACTTACTATTTATTCTAAATTCAAACAAATACAAAATAGTAATACAATTATGTAGGTATTATGAGTTTTGACATGAATAAAGTTTGGAGCACATTGGTAGTGGCCACAAACATACTGGGCAAAATATGCTGGGCGATTAAAAAAAAATTCAATTCCAATTCACATTTTTTACACATTGTTTACAATAGTCCAAATAAGAATCTAATTAATTCTCATTCATGTGTTAATAGAATTATCATTAAGATTATTTGATAATGTTAATAGGCGGTGAATATTATGGTAAATTTTAGCCAATGTATGTATGGAATGTAATGTGAATTCTGAGGTAGGTATAAATGCATTATTTTGGAATAATTTCAAATGATTTTCAATGTTATTTTACATATTTTGTATAGCAATCCTATGAATTCATTTTTGCCCAATAAAAAAATTGTTTAACCGCTGGTCTATGGAATGCAGATCTAAGCAAGACCTTTATGTTCTCATACAGAAGCAGTTGAGAGGTTAAACTTGTTACATAGTATTGTAAGTTCTATATTGTTTGGGATAAATGCCATTTTGTAACGAAAACTAAAGCAATCCAAAATAAAAAAATAAGTATGTGTATGATTGTTTATCTATTACTTCATACTATCTCTTGATGTTAACACCGTTTAGTGATAAAATTATAAGCTTTGTGCTCACTGATAAACATTTACGACCACCCCTTAATTTGAGTATATTATCAAGACGTAATACACCTATTATAGCCAATGACGATACATTAGAATTTCCATAAACCATGTTGTGTGTTCACTCACATTATTATGTTAATTTAATGGCGTCAAATCAGAAAATAAGTATTTAAGAATAGTTATTGTGACATGTATAATATTTAAGAAGTAATCCCTTTTATTTATATTTATCTTACATTCATTTATTTAAATGTAATTAATACCTATACTTGACTTTATGATCTTTCTTGTGTAAAAAAATCTAATCAATCTAAGAATTTTACCTATGTTTGTTATTTAGTTAGTTGTTTATTATACTCTTGGGTTTAAGAAGCTAAAAATGTCAGCACTATTAATAATCACTTCAATTCTACTCAGTATCTATTCCACTGATAAAACAAGCTGTGCGCTCAACCAACATCTGAAACTGGTATCTACACGAAAAATAATATATTAATGAAAAAATAAGAATAAAAGCAAGTACCTGCATAGTATTTATATTCTTACTGTTTATAAAATTAGTTCCTTGAGATTGATTATGCAGGGAGTATAATAAAAATCTTCTTTGAAAAATAATTAATTTGATCCTTAAATTGCTGTGCTTATACCCGAAGTACTTTACACTAATATACATAGAGTAACTATAGACAGTCAGCCAAGTCATTTAGTAAATAGGTAAGAAAATAAAGTTTGATTAGGTACAGAGACTATTGTTATACTTCCTTCCTTAATTTTTAAATTGTCAAACACCAAGCGGTCACCGGTGACCGCAATCTATTGTTCTATAATGACGGTACTCGACGAGTTAATGAGACTATATCTTTGGTCAACTCAGCAGCCAACCAATGCTTACCAACTCTGTACTCAATTAATCTTAATTTTCTTACACATAACATAACCTCACTCCTAATATCTACAACACCCACTTTTCACTATTTATGTTATAAGTTCCATGAAATAGGGGGTGAGCCTATTGCCATATACTGGGCACAATTAAAGACTCCGTGCTACTACTCAGAATTTATAAAAGACCCAGTAATACTTTGTCCAACCTAGGAATCGAAACTGAGACCCCTTGCCCCGGCGCAGCAGTCGTACTTGTAATAATAATTAAATTGCCTATACACTTAATACTTGGCTGATTGTGTATTACATTAGGTATACTGATATTACATAGATAGTGATGATTGGAGGGTTCGATTTCCTATTGTTGTTAATTGAAATTCAAAAATTTCGATTTCAACATGATGTTGAAATCGGATTTCCTGATATAGTTTGAAAACCACCTGACTCTCATCTACCTATCTATCTTCTAGGTAAGATTTGAATTGGCGAATGTCCATTTATTCATGAGCTAAAGCTGTGCCAATAAGAATAGCGAAACGAAAACTTAACTTGCTCCTGCGGCGCCTCTAAAAACTACGTTTTAATATTTGCAGATTTACTTATTTGATATTTTTTGTCATATACCTATAAAATATAAAAGTTAAAATACAACATGTAGGTACTTATTAATTTATACTCATGTCCTTGTACTTCGTATTATTAATTTTTGAATATACCTAGGTATATAGCTAGCTAGTAATACCTAAATTCGAATAGAATCCGTCCGTCCGAAGTTTGAATAGCCAACAGAAGCGCATTAATAGCAGAATATGAGAATAATATTAATAAAACGACGTAATAACTTGATTGCAAAATAAATATGACGCCAAAGAATCCAATGAGTTCAATCCTTGTATTAATACTCAAACCTTCTCCATGTGAGCAGAGGCCTTTACTCAGCAGTGGGCACTTTTAGGCTCTTAACCTCTTGAATGTCAGTTTAAGACACAGAAAATAATTTGAGTTTCGCGTAGATCTGCGTGCATACCGCGGGTAAATGATGATGATAATGACACACAAATCAAAACTGCCATCTGCCTTATTTCCGAATCAATACGCCTTTCAAAACGCGACAAAACAGCGTACTCCTTTTTGAAAGGCTGGCAATACACTTGGACTTTTTCTGGTCATCTTCACCAGCCGGAGGACTTCAACGGCCGTACAAAGGCCGAATCATATCAGGCTAATGCCACACTCAATCTTAACCGTTAAACAGCATTAAATAAATTTTAGTGTTTCCTGTTTGGCTCTTCAAACTTGGACTTTGTATTGCGAATGTGTAAACATTGTAATAAGGACAATCAAAGTCCACGAACACCGGTTATTGCGCGGACTTTGAACTGGCAGCTGATATCAAGACGAGACGTCTTGACGAAATTGATATTTACATATTGATTGTTAAATAAATATGAAACCACAACTATTTCGTCGCGTTGTGCACGTTTTTGGGACTTTGGCAATGTATGCTATAACAAGCAAATAGGTCTATAACGAAGGAATGTTTAATTAGGTCTATGTAAGCTACTTTTATTGATATTAGCCCCAATGAACGACTGCATCAGATTTCTTTTGCATGGTAATTACTCGACTGCTATTTGAATGCAGTTTCAATGAATATGCATAGACTGATAACTAATTTGTGAATGTTCATATCACGTTGTAATTCCAAAACAAGTTCCGATAAGTAAATTGTAGTAATTATCAGTAATTCAGTAATGATCCGGCTTTTAATGATCTTGTTAATGATAGTCAATGAGTTTCGTGAACTTTGATATAGAGGGTACTTATACAAAAACTATTGCAGAATCAGGTAAAACTCATGAAAATTGCAACTCATTGACTAGTTTTCAATTACGAATTTCAAGTTGTTAAATCTAATTTCTTTATAATTTGAATGCTGCATTTTGTACCCCTGCAATTATGGTTTATATGTGACCTATTTATGAAGACAAAGTGTGTCAATACCACGAAACTGTCCTTCGTTCATATAGACCATTAATGAACATGGCACGTGGCCTCATGTGTCACTAAAGTTAGTTGCAATACAGTTATTAGTGTCAGAGTACGATCGATTTCAATATTGCCCCTTCATCGTACCCTGGTATCAATAACCCATTTACATTCGTTAAGAGTTGTATTATTTTACGAGTCATCTACGTATTTCATTCTAATCTTAGTTTACATCGATGTTTAAAATAAAATCTCAATTATTTGACGCTCAATGTGATCAAAGATAATTTTAAAAAATAACAAAAGTAAAAAATTCTATCTCGATAAGAAAAAAATGCGCAAATCTCGAAAATATCTCCGTAACATCCGGAAAATCTTATCATTATCATTAGAATCACAAAAACTGTTGCTATTTTCGTTTATGAGAAATACTACGACAAATGTATTCATGAATGTTAATTTATGCTCATTTGAAAGCGTAGTAACTAAGTACAGTTATGCCTTGGGTCACAATTAAGTAAAAACACAATACTGCATCATGATAGTAAAAAGGTTACTGGAAAGCCGGTCACTAATTAACATTATTTCTTGAATGAATTAACCTTTGCAGTTTCAAGCTATATGTTTTGCACTTAGATACACTGTCGATGTTAAACTAACTTAGATAAGATACCAACGAAAGAGTCGTAAGCAGTAACTTTCTACTAATGTCTAATAGTCATGAATTATATCTCTATGCTAATACATGATCAGGTTTTATCTGATTGAAAACCTCAATTCAACCATGTATTGATACAATATCCAAAATGCTAGAGTATTCTTTCTGTTCGTAAATTTAGAAAAAAGGTGTTTATTTATTGCTGGCGCTTTAATTTCAAAATCAAGGCTCTGCGTGTGTCAAGAAGTCAAAATATACCTACTTTATTAATTCCTATATTTTGCTATGTTCCAGGTGATACGTGCCACCAGGCCGATTTACAGAAAGCTGTCGACAACAGCTCCCGTCGCAGCTGCTAAGCCCATGCCTACAACTGGAATGTGTTTTGGTAAGATATATCTGTCTTCTAACATATGAAGAATATATATTATATTACCTTTTGACTTCCATGGGGTATGTGGTGGTTGCGATATCTAAGTCTGAAAAGACAATATCCGTAAACATGCTCATTCTTGACAACGTTTATTTATTTATAGCCAAATGTTATTTTGAATCATTTCTATTATTATAAGGAAAAATGTAAACATAGGTATGGTAAAAATGAAGTGTTTTGAAAATGAAACATATCTAACAAATGTTATCACTTTTTATTACATTTTATTTATTTTAGAGTCGCATTATCCGGATTTATAACCACACTTGAAGCCGCTTGGCTTAGTCTCCACCCTGTTATCGACAAATTATTATCTGATATTTCAATGTTATTTTATATGACAAGAATTTCAAAGTTCAATAGATAAATAACTGGAGAATATCACGCTAATGTGACTTGTATCTAAATTATATAAAGGTATAATAGTTAAGAGAATACGTGTTTGCTGTTGCGTAAGACCTTTTTCCGAACGTTTCTTGTTGTCATCTTGTTAATGAGATTAAGGAAATACAGTGCACCTTTAATTGTACGCTTTCTCTATGAAAACATTCCTTGCTCGTCTGTTTTATGGTTTGTCTCGTAAATAGACAAGACTAGCTATTATTATCGAAATTCTTCACATTGTCGGAGCCATAAGAAGAACATAGCAATTACTCAATTATGTTACTTTGATCCTTGAGACATCCCATGTCAGAATCACCTTAATTTAATTTAAGGAGTGCATAAACTGATTATCAAGTCAACCAAGTGCAGCTAGATAGATCAAACAAATGCACCTGAGGTCCGTTATACCTATTCGATACCGATGGCTGAGAATCGACCCAAATCGCAGATTAGAAATAGCTTTGGTTATATAAGTAACAGTGCTGAATACTATTCTTGAGTACAGGTACATGATATCTTGTATTCAGTCCAGCCCTTTCCGCCTCGGTGTAAAGTCATCCATTTTCATTGCACTAACCAAACAACATCTGTCAGGTGCCAAGAAGCCTCGATCTCATATTTTATTTAGCCGCCTCGTGCTCGCTTAGGCCCGGGCAAGTAATGGGAAATCGATAGAATGCAGCCTTTACGTAAACTTTCTAATGTAGCTGTTGTTTATATACGACAAATTATTACAGCAGTCAGTAAACACTCTAATTTCTACAAATTACAAAGTAAGGGGTAAACGTTCATTGAAATGTGTTTTTGATAAATGTCTCAGCCTTGTAGCGTACTTGATAACTTTTCTGTTTTGATGAAGTTAATATTTTATGAATTCTTCGTCGTTGATTAAGTGGTTGCAAATGCAATTGTTAAGTAAGGCGTATTGGATTAGATTCTTGAGTATAGCAAGGATTTTTGGTATGGTTATGGTACGGAGTCGGCACCATATGGCGGTATTTGGTATTAGGTTCACAACCTATTACATCACCTTCAACTGATGAAAAATGCCTGTAGGTACTCCTTTAGGAAATAAAAAACTAAAAAGCGTGCCATTATTTGTCTATACCATAAATTAAAGATCAAAAATTTCATTTTCAAGTATAATAAGTTCCAAAGTTATCAATAAATAGGTATATTTATTTCTTTACAGAGCTGAGCGAGGAGCAGAAGGCCTTACAAGATTTAGCTCGCAAGTTCACCAGAGAAGAAATCGTGCCAGTAGCTGCCCAGTACGACAAGACTGGGGAGTACCCATGGCCCATCGTGAAGAAGGCATGGGAAATCGGTCTAATGAACGGACACATCCCGGAACACTGCGGTAATGATATCGTGTATACTAACTATAAATTAAATAACATTCATAGGTAGAGTGACATAGGAACGTACCAGAGATAAAAGGTCTTACAGCTGAAATTCTGATCTTAATCCAGAATATCTGGATCGAAATAGGCGTTTGATTATTATTCAGAGGAACTAATGGCTAAAAACAACAATGACGTGTAATACCTCTAATTTCAGCTGTAATTAGGCGGCTACATTTAACATAGTTTATGCTTTAAAGTCGTGGTATAAAATTGCAATAGGCACCCCAAAAGTTTTAGGTAATATCTTGACTAAACAATTTTATATAGTCGTATGATGACAATATTTTTAGGATCATAAGTACCTACTTTGCAGCCTTTGTAATTCCTTTAAAGATAAACACCCTATAGAATATACTCCATAACTCGGTTTTAAGAACCGTCTTAAAAATATTATAGTCTCGAATATATTTGAAGACTACATCAAAGGGACAATGTGAAAATATAACAACTATCAACAGTATTAATACCTAGTATCTGTGTAAAAGAGTGTTTTTCTAACGAACTTATATCTTTTGTTCGGACCTCAAAAAGAAATAATCCGATTTCTTTTACATAGAATCACTATGATCCGTTTATTGAAAGACGAGTACAAATATATTGGAAAACTACACTATTCATAGTTTAATCCTTGTAGGAGGGACATCGTGGTGAAAGTTTGTGATACATACTTTATGACCCGTCTTGATGCAATAATTTAGTTGTCATATGTACATTACTGGCAAAATGTGAATAACAACGTCGGTCCAAAATCAATTAAGATAGAACTAATATCAGAAATCTACCTAGTTGAAAGATATTGGATTAAAATCATTTAGCTAGAATTTACGCTTTCTGGAAACGAATAAAATTGCTCTATCTGTATCACTCCACCGAACCTTGACTTATTTCCTTAAAATAAGGCATAGTATTAGGTACTTTTTGAAATGATTGAAGTGATAATTTAAAGATAAAAGTGTCCTATGTCCTCTGTATATGTCATGTGGGTTTTTTATACCACGACGGTGGCAAAAAAGCACACGGCCCACCTGATGATAAGCGGTTACCGTGGCCTATGTATGCCTGCAACACTTGGGTTTAATCCGCCATTTTGATTAAATGACTAGCACGGTAATTTATTGAATACAGTTAATTCTGTCCCACGAAAAATAACGAGCCAAAATCCATAGTTACTCTTGTTCAATCAGTTTTGATAATCGACGATCGAGGTTACCTCGTCACTTTGTCGGATTTTTAGTATAAGACATATTTATAAGAGATACTTTGCTTGTAAATCTTATATTTATTATTAAGTTATTATAAAGGTACTAAAGTAATAAACTGTCTGTCGTTCTAATGAATAGCGTAATAAATCGCGCATGATACTAATAGCTAATTGGTTGTTCTGTTGATTAAAAAGTCGTTAACAGCTATTACAATAGTAACTGTGAACCCCTGTGAAGTCGTAACGCGCAGTCACGATTGTCTAGAAAAGAAAGATCAAAGATAATGGAAATCTATATGGCATTGTAATGTTATTGATCGGTATCTAAGCAAATAGTCTTAACACCTTAGTTATATATACTATATGTTAGGCTTGCCCCCTTAATTATCAAACTCGTAAATAATTTACGAAAAACGGGTGTTACCTACTTATTTTAATAAGCCTATCTCAAAAGACCTCTTTTGAGGCAACGGTTTAATTAATTAACACTGCAGATTAAACTAACGTCACTTCTAAAATAATGAAACCTTCTAGGAGGTATGGGACTAGGAGCTATCGACAGTTGTCTTATAGCCGAGGAGCTGGCGTTCGGCTGCGCTGGCATCAAAGCCGCCATTGCTACCAGTTCTATAGGTGTAAGTCAAGAACCCCGCAAAATATTTGCACTGACTAGCTTTAGGGACGGAAGTTTTCATGGAATACTGCTTTCATTCCAACTACTTATGAACTATCTTTATTATTAACTGCTTCTAACATGCGTGTTCCTTATAAGATTCTGGTACGAGGAATTAATACGTCATCGATGACGTTTTGCAGGGGGTTTAGGTTTAGGAGTTTTTGAAGCAAGTCTCGTTTGCGAAGAGTTCGCGTTTGGTTGCTCAGGCATAATGGCGGCGTTGACTATCACTGATGTCGGAGTAAGAAAGCAATTACTGTAATGTGTGAATCATTTACTGAGACGGTGATAGCATGGGAACCTCACAGTCCTTTTTAATGGTTTGGGCTAAATTGTCATCGATCAAAACTTTAGAGTAGTCATTTCGATCATTATTTCATGTACGTAGTTTACCATTACCGTGCAAAGTGAAGCTGGGATGTTCCCCAATTTACCAACCCAAGATTTAATGAAAAAAATCAGCAAATGTTAGTCTTACTGTGTAATCTGTTCAACGTTTGTAATGCGTGCATTGAACAATAATTGTAAGCCACGAGAATTTAATTACGAAGACAAAATCTTAACACACTTACACTTACCTTTTTATCTCATACTTGTACGTATGTATAATATATTCCACCCAATCCAGCCCAAAGTGAGCTAACTTTGGAAACAAGAGCAATGCCATCAAGTTAATATGTCTAACTGTACCTCCTAGCCATCGACAACAACCTACAAATTGTGATTGAACGGATACATGTTACAGTTAGATTAATTCCTAATGATTATAAAGCCGTGTAAAATAAAATACCAGTCTTAAGTTTCTAGAAAAATTTCAGGGGGCGTTGGAAACTTTGGGGTACTGGATGAGTGTATCGTAGGCGAGGAGATGGCATTCGGATGCACAGGAATTACCACCGCTGTTGGAGGCACTAATTTAGGAGTGAGTCTCGTTTAAACAGATCTAGTCTCAATCTACCTGAGGTGCCATCAACGTTACTTAAAAATAAAGCTATTAAAAATGCATGAAAATATAACAATAATAATGATATTGCTGATACTAGGGATTCGGTGTATTTCTGTACATTAAATGTAATAAGAAAGGGACAGGATTGCAAAGTATAATTATGTTCTGTATGTCAGTCTATTCGTATTATCTGTTTGTTGTCTAACTCATGTTATCCGAATCTACCTAACGGATTTTCATATTATATTTAAGTATAATATGTAGGTAATTGGGAACATTTAACACAGTTGAATGACAATTTTTCGAATCATCGGTGCTCAAGCAAATATTCCTGAACATTATCTGACAATAACATCATTAAGGAAATTTATATTATAGATTCTAGGTTCTAAGTTCATTTAATACAGATGCCTACACATTTAACTTGCCTACAAATAACACATTTTATTACAAACAATATACAGTTGAAACCTATTGACAAAATTCCGGTTCAGAGTAGTTTAGATATATAGGTGCATAAAGGAATACCCATAAAAATGTAAAATATGTAAAATATAGCTAACCGTTAAATTATTACTGCCGTCACATTCATGATCTAAAACTTATCTGCTTGATGCAGTAAAACGAGACAACTATTCCTTGATCAAAATTTGAAGATTGTCTTTATTTCAAATCTAGACTATAGCTATATCACAACATGTTACATAGGTGCAATATAGTAATTTCAAAATTGAATAAATTGGCAATATACATTTTTGGCAATCTGTATCAACTTCTAGAGACATTTCAGGGGGCGTTGGCAACTTTGGGGTTATGGATGAATGTATCATTACCGAAGAGATGGCCTTCGGATGCACTGGAATTAACACCGCTCTTGACAGCACCAACTTAGGAGTGAGTTTCGTTTAAAACTATCTGAGGTGCCATCAACGTAGCTTCGAGTTATTCAAATTTAAATTAACGATATTAAAATTAAAATATTTTTAGTTCTTTATCGATTACTATGAAACTTATCTAACAAAAAGTATCGATTCTATAATGATTACTCGTGCCTATTTGTGTTCACGTCTCTTAAATTAGTCTTAAGAATGCTCAACATTATTTGAATGAGCCACTTTTTCGAATTCGGTTCGCAATGCTTATGTGTGCATGAAGATAAATCGTTTAAAATGGGCTTGTTGTTATTGTTATAGAAAATTAATTGGGATGTATAATTTTAGCATAGTAATTCAAAGTAGGTAAAAATCTAATAAAATCTTCAAGAAATAGGTACTCAAGGAGCGTAGTTTGTCTCAGTAGATTATAATTAAAGTTCGGTTTCATGAGATTAAATAGTAAAAATGGGTGTTACATTGTACAGTGACATAATATATACCTCTGCCTACCCCTTCGGGGATAAAAGGCGTGGTGTTATGTTATGTTATGTAATTCTTATGCGACAAATGTGTGTATGTGTGGATTCGTACCATTAAACAAAAATCAACATCAGAGTATTTTAAATACTACTCATAGTATACCTACAAATTACACAACACAATGATAGCAGCAAGTACAGAAATTGTTCACGACACCGCGTCTGTACCCCAGCACCTAAATCTCAAAGTAAAATAAATTTGTTTCGGTTTTTTATAAAGATCAAGTTCGTTATATTATACCCGACCCTTGTATCGTATTATTAAATGAATAAACTTTTGTGCAAGTTAACGAAAGGGACGTTTTTACACATGAATGTATGAAGGTCAAAAGAGTGGCTACTTAGTAACTAAAGTTCGGGTAAAAGTTCTCACCATGCAATTCGATACCAAGTCATATAAAGAACCTAAATATTCGCGTAACAGTTCTGAAAGAAAGTACCTACATTGTTGCTGCTTTGCCAAAGCATTGTATCAAATGTGTCGTGCTGTGACCAGTACACAATCTTAAATTATAGGTTTTATATATTTTAAAATAATATGAGTTTAAGTTTGTACAAAACAAATAAACAGACCCTTTGTATATTGTTGTTTATAATATTGTATTTTTCTCAGGGATATGGATAAAAATTTAAATGTCGCCTAAATGTGCTTATTTTTTGTCAAACATTAAATGTTGTTTACATATTGTACGCTTCGTCAATGTTATTATCTATTTATATATTACATCTGTGTTCTCAGGCCGCAACAGGCGAAGGTAACCTGAACCTTCCAGTGTCATGAGATATAACATTTAATAAATTGTCTAATGTGTCTATTTCTTTATGTATATACCTTATAAATGTCCTTCACAAATCGAATAAAAATCCGTCACCGTACGACGTGTCACCATCTCGACTCCATAACCCATTAAGCTTACAAGCAGTGTTGTTCCCTCCAGGTGGAATGAATATGGATGTGTTTGATGGGTGTATGGTAGCCGAAGAGCTGGCGTTCGGATGTACTGGCATTATGACAGCAATGGAAGCCAGTGGTCTTGGAGTGAGTGGCTCATGCGGCCTGCTTAGCTTGCATAATGCACGACTAATTGTACCATAACAATGTCGCTCTCGTATATATGTATTTATGTAGCTAACAGCATGTGTGTGATTGTAGCTTCGTATCTTATATATCCCATGTAATCAGCATTCCAATTAATATCTATTCCATGAAAACTCGAAAGTAGTGGCTATACCATTTTAAAAAGCTAACAGATTTTCGAATTGAATCACAATTCATTGTCAACAAATTAAGGTACTTACCACTACGCTTTCAAAGTTAATAAATTTTTTGAGTTTATTTTTAATTACTAACACATTAACGGGTGTAATGTAATGGTAACCATATTTTTATAAAGTTAATCTGTAATCTATGTTACTACAATAATGTTTTGTTAAGAAAATTCATATTTATGTTGTTATTAACTTTGTGTAAACATTAGCTTAACTTTATCGCCCTAGTTCTCCATGAAATACTCCTAACTACACGTTATGGCATCTCATTTATGTAGAATAGTGTTTGTTGATGTATTTTAGTAGCGAGTAGTGTAATTCAATGAAGTTATATTAGTTTGGTATATCGATGGGCTAATGTTTCAGCAAATGCCTGTTATTATCGCTGGTAACAAGGAACAACAGAAGAAATACCTGGGCCGACTTGTCGAGGAACCCATCGTGGCTGTAAGTAGGCACTGAACAAACAATCTTATAATTTCGTGTAACCAATCGCATTCGAATAATGACAGCTATCGGTGTAATCACTGCTTTGTAGCCGTTTATTCACAAATATCCTTAAAAAAATTGATTCTTCGATATCAACGCACCCGATGGGAAAATACAGTTAAATAAAATGTGCGAAACACTTGCAATAACAAATCAGAATTCAAGTTCGAGTCAGGGACTGGACAGTCGGAGACATTCATGTGTACAGACTAAGAACTGCGTTGTGTTAAGATAGAGGGTTGATGATTGTTTCATTATTCAGGCGTATTGTGTCACCGAACCGGGCGCAGGATCTGATGTGGCCGGTGTCAAAACCAGGGCCGAGAAGAAAGGAGATGAATGGATCATCAATGGACAGAAAATGTGGATCACTAACGGAGGGGTAGCCAACTGGTATGTCTAGCTCTCAAGATTTTGTTAATCTTTCACAGCGACTTATTATACAATGCAAAAGACGTTATTGAGAAACAGTACGAGGTCAGGTTATGCAGATTTGATGCATAAAAAATAAAGTTTTTCTATTGCCAGTATTTAAAATGAAGCACGTTACGAATTCAGGTATTTCGTGCTAGCACGAACCAACCCCGACCCCAAGTGCCCTGCTAGCAAGGCGTTCACCGGATTCATCGTGGAGAGGGATTGGCCCGGAGTCACCCCTGGACGCAAGGTTTCAATTCTAAACTTTTATTTCCATTCTAACATCAATAACACCATAATTAAAGTAACTCACTATTCAATTTTTTGTCATCGATACTTATTTCAAGATCGCCTTCGTGATCATATGGAGATCGTATAGTGGTGTTTTATTTTTGGCTTCCATCCATAAAGTTGATAACATTTCCATAGAATTTAAAAGTTAATTAATTAATATCAATTAAAATAATAAATTAATTAATATCATAATAAAAAAAAATATTGCAATAATTGTTGTATAATTACTGTAAATGTAAGTTATTGAAACATTTTTAAACAAACACGACTTATCGGAAACCATTCTTGATGACAATGATTTGCTATTCGCTCAAAGAACAGCATCACTGGTTATGTGAAATATCTGTCGGTATGTCGTAGGTAGCATCTAATGTACATATGTCGTAATTGCTGCCCTACGTGGTTTAGCAATAGTTCCAATAGGTCACTGGGTTTTCTTGCTCGAAGGTCTACGCTGCCGCAGTGACAGCACCTGACCTAGTTACCAGATGGGATGGCGCAAGGTTGCCCACAGGGGTCTCACACCACACCACCGTTTCACACCATCTCTAATTATCGCCCACACATACATACACACTTACCTGCAACTGTAAACACTGCCTTAGGGTGACCCACCCCAAGCGACACCATCTGGGGGCTTACTCTTGAATCCAATTCCGATCGACCGACATTGGTATTGTGAAATTTCGTACTCTTGAGTTGCAACTCTAGCGCCCATTGCATTCGTATTGCGTGGATATTGAAGGAACTAAATGGTATTGAGTTTGGCTCTAAATTCCGTATTCTAAATGGTACTTTAACTGCTACGATTGGGGTATTGGGGTTGTATAGTTTTGACATTGGATAATTATTGAGATATTATTGGATTGAAATTGCATCGACATTGAGATTGGTTTCAAGAGTAAGTACCCTGGTCTCTTCCTATCATCATGTACCTAACCCTTTGCTGTTTTTATTTGTAACAGCCTTGGTTTACTTATTATAAGTATTAATAACTGCAGAAAATATATTTTTAGTCATAAATTTAACATCATTTAATTTTTTCTGATACTTATTACCTATGACTTTATAACAGTTCAATAGCTGTATCAATCATCAACTTTCATTACAATAACGTTACAGAATACAGAAGTTGCAAAAATTGGCATCAGCAAGAACAGTAGGCACTACAAAGCAAGCAGCCTTGCTTGCTTTGTAATGCCTATTTGACAGAGAAATAAAATTTTGTGCCAAAGTGACTGTGTGTGACAAACAAGAAATAAGATATTGACTTTGATTTTGGTATACTCAGGAACAAAACATGGGTCAGCGTGCTTCGGACACCCGTGGCATCACGTTTGAAGACGTTCGTGTACCCAAGGAAAACGTTCTCATTGAAGAAGGTGCTGGCTTCAAGATTGCTATGGGAGCGTTCGACAAGACTCGCCCACCGGTAACTCACCTTTAATGACACCTACTATGTAACAACTTCACTGTAGTCAATAAATTATTTTCCTAGAAATAAAGGATCGATCGTGGCACTGAAGTTAATAACAGACGCTCGGCAAGTGTTCCAATTACGGAATGTCAGTGGTATGTCATTCCGGTAATTACATGTTGATTGTTGATACCTATTGATTTAGTTTACTGCATCCATTCGAAAAGTACAGTGCACATTTAAGTCGTATTTAAATGCAATTTATTGTAGGTATTGTTAATTGGCTTCATTTTACTTTCGCTTTCAATGTTTTATATTTTTAAATATTGTACTTACCAGTTGTATCTATTATTAATCCTGAAGGTTTAAGTAAAACTATATATAAACAAAGCGAATCTATTAGAATATAAGTAGTCTATAGGGCAAAAAATACAATAAGGGGAAGAACATGTTTACAAAACATTTTATGCCTTGCCATGCAGGTAGCAGCTGGTGCGACAGGTTTGGCCCAGCGAGCCCTGACTGAGGCCACGAAATATGCGTTGGAGCGCAAGACATTCGGCGTGCCCATTGCCCGGCACCAGGCCGTCGCCTTCATGTTGGCTGATATGGCCATCGGTGTGGAGACCGCGCGTCTTGCCTGGATGAAGGCCGCTTGGATGGCCGACCATGGTAACGTGTTTTAGATACCCACTTCTGTTATAGTATATCCATTAAATGCCCATCAATTCCTTTCTAATACTATGACCAAAATCTATATTTATCCATCTTATCAATAAAGATTACCCTTAAAGTTCCCTGAAATCCATTCAGCCTACTTAAAGTTCAATTAACGAAGCTCACAGTGCAACAGTTAACCCAGATCCGCTACTATTTTTATTCTGTGTCGAGTCAAGTCGATATTTGATCAATAGCGGTTATTTGCAACAGCGACAAACTGTTTCCACCTTTAAGTCCAGTAGCAATAAGTAGGTTAAGGTATTTATAAGCCATATTCAGATGCGGGCGTCATCGCCACAACCGAAATGTGTAAATACAGTGATGTTGAATTATGTATTTGGATTTTTATGTCGATCATAAGATATCATGTTCCTCACTCCTTTGTTCTGTATGATCTGAAAAGTTGTGCAAGCATACATTATGGCTCAATGCTCTTTGTATTTTTTAAGGCAACACAAAGCGATTTACAAATCAGATGTCAAGAAAATCTTTGTCCATGATACTAATTCATGTAAACTTTATTTAAAATACGTGTAGGAACAGAGGTTTGAATAATGTTTTTTGATGCAGGTGTGAGGAACACAGTGCTCGCTTCGGTGGCGAAATGCCATGCCTCCGAGATCGCCAACAAGGCGGCCGCAGACGCTGTCCAAATCTTCGGAGGCAACGGTTTCAACACCGAGTACCCTGTAGAAAAGCTGATGAGGGACGCCAAGATTTACCAGATCTACGAAGGCACGTCACAAATCCAGAGGCTCATCATCTCCAGGGAGATCATTACAAACGCCATGCAGACCAACTAAATTAAAGCGATAACGTTACGTCGCGTATAAAGGATTTCCATTATGTTTTCTATTTTTAAGTTATGTAATCAATCGATATTATTTCAATAAATTCATATTTATTCTCCGTAAAAGCCTGTGAATTGTACAATTGTGATTTGCAAAAACAAGAAACTGTTTTATATTTATTTATTACCTATGCACAAAAAGAGGTTTTGATAATATAATTTTTGACATTTGTAAATGGAATCAATTATCAAGTACATAAGTGATTGTTTACAAAATCAACAAAATCAAAGTAGTAAATAAAGTGTGAATGTTTGTAAATTGTAAAACAGAAAAGGAACTGTTCTCAATGAAAGACTATACTTATAATAAATAAATAGATTCTCCAAAAAATCATAAAATGTTTAATTTCCTAGCTACACCCGAGATTTTATTGTTTTATGTTCTTTATAATTAGTTTAGGTTACATATTTGTCTATCATTTGAAAAGAGGTATCTACCTCTTCAGTTGGATAACTTGCTATAGAACTATTTTACAATGCAATTTGTTAAATTTAACCGAGTTAAGAGTCCACTTGGTAACACAACGATGTTTCTTTGGTAATAATTACATAGCAATACAAACTAGTAATCCTTTTGGGAAACGATTTTAGAAACATCTGATTTACGTTTCTGTTACATAAATTAAAGGATAATTTTGTGTATCTACCGAAATGTGCCAATCACCACTCATTGTGAATCGGGCAAGTTTTACAAAACATTAACCTCTAACTGCCTAAACTCTAAATTGTTAGGTTTGCCGACCATTGGGTTCACAATTATGTTTAGAAATACATTTTATCAAGATATTTGTTATAATACATGCACTGTGAACATTAATTAATACAGACTTAACCATTTTATAAAAATATCAAGGCACCCAAATTTTCGTATTACTTGTAAACCACGACATCTATCGATTATTATAGTAACTAATATAAAATTCTGGAGATGATCTTAATGCCCATGCAGATGGCGTTACAGAGCGCCGGAAGCAGTTTTTAATTTTGTTACGCTTTTAATAATTCAGAACAACTAAATATTAACTAATCGTAAAATAAATACATAAAAATATATAATTACGATTTCTATATAAAACTCTTTAAATTTAGGGACTTTTATTTATAAAGATATTACATTGCAATCATACTCATAAAGATTGACCTACATTCGGAGCCCTTGTGAAAGGATTGTGCAATAGAAACGGTCATTTATTACACAACACAGTATGTTCATAAGCAAACATAGTCATTTTGCATCAATTATATGCTTTTTTGAAGTTTGCAAAAGTCACATAAAATTGAGGAACGAAAAGTACTATCAACGTTTTTTTGTCAACTGTGAACGAATATTACACTTTCATAAACCAAATAAATATATTTAAGGATCAAACAACTCTTTTTTAATTATTTTTTGATAAAATAGGTCATGACACAGTTTTTTTCTAATTGGGTTATTTTCTCGCTGCCCTTTACCGACTTAGTTCAATGTCAGTCATGAGTACGGTAGCTCCATTGAACCTGAGTTATGTCGGTCGGAATATCAAAGTGTAAGTGAAGTGGCCTAGAGACCTACATTTTGACACACGTATTATCGCTTTTATGCGTGATTTTTGAGATAAAGCATATCCTTATACGGCGTAGGTGAAATACTTAAAGTTCTCTGGGCGACATTATCCTGTCGCCCTGTCCAATTATTTGTGTATAATGCACGAAGACGCTCCAAAAATGAGTGTAGCACAAAGTCTACCCGCCTCCACGAGTCAGGCGAAGAGTGAGATCGTGACTGAGGTCCCCCCCGTGGACTATGAATTGAACACTGTTGAACTAAAACCCTCTCAAACTATTGAAATGGAGTTAAAGCTTGCTTATGTGAACCCCTCCAGCGGTAAGTGGACCATGCTATGTTGTAATAACACTTCATAGATGTTATATTATTTGATGATCGTCATGGAAATGTCTTACAAAGCAATCGAGCATGTTAAACGCTCTAATTTGAGTAATAAAGATCCAGCATGACTAAACCGCTTCTATTTTAATGTTTAAATATCGAATAACAACTTGTTTCGGTGGTTTCCACTTGATGTTTTGTTACAAGTGTCAATATTATTATTCAAATTGGAGTCTTTTATGATTAATTGGGGGACATGAGGTCTACAAAAGAAATATTTCTGTAAGTAGTGAATATCATTAGTTATTCAAAAAAGACAAGTGTTGTATAATAATACGCACATAGATTAGATAGCTACATTATGTATATGCATTGTAAAGTCTACCTGCTCGTACGCTCGGCTGCACGGTGTGGCAACGCCGCATTGGTTTTTTCGCGCTATCCTGCGACAGAGTTGGCTCAGGCTGTGTGAAATAGTGTTTTAAGACTTACTGTATAATAGTGGCTCATAGAACGTGTTTCGAGAATAGTTTGATTGTATAATAAACTACATCACTGTGACTAAATGTACATAAGTACACTGTCAAACGGTTGTGTGGTTTTGTATTCAATGGGTGGCGCGGCGACGCATTTTGATTTCATTTGGTGTCAGTAGGACACGTTTACTCGGCAGCGTGCTGCAGTAGCTCGAGCATGGCACTCCGGTTGTTACACCATATGAAATAACAGTCTCGACGTGAGACACTTAACTAACTGCACACTACGAGCCACTAATCTTATTTGGTTCATACCTATACAAATTCACGTTGATATTGTACAGATCAGACCGACCTGTCGAGATGATGCGCTGTTGCAAATGTTTAAGAAGGTATCTACCTACCTACTTATTTTTGGAAATAGGTTGACTGAAGTCTGTTTGGTATCTGACAAATGAGAGACGGAATATGCGACTACGCCCGCCTGCTGTATTCAGACACCCGAAAATAATTAATGAGTCGGAAATATAAGCAGTAGCTATACCTAATTGTAGATAAACGTACGTACATGAACGCAGTCGGCATCGACGTTACAATTATCACATGGAAATACATCCGTAATAGTTAAGTCAGTATGGTTTTCCCGACATTATTTACTTTGAACAAGTTGGTAGGTACATCTACATTTCGGCAGTGACGTTATGCAAGCTCTTTCGACAGCCGAAATACTCGTAACAAGGCGGTCCAAGTAACATAAATTCATTAGGTAGGTACTACCTACTTACTACTCTACAACAGAGTTTCATAAGCGTGCTCCATGATTCTTAAATGTCGCAGTGTTGTGTTAATCTGTATCTAACTATTCAGACGTTTTTTTTTCTTAATTCGTTTGTTTTATCAAAGAGAAAAGATTTATGAGGCATTATTTTCGGATAGTGTCAATTAACTGTGAGTAAACAGATTTAATAACTAGGCATATAATTTTGACACATTTTTCAGCTTATGTCAAAATTGGCCGTTAAAGGATAAGCTAACTAGTTAATTGACTATCGTACGTATTGCGCAAATGTACCACAGTAACAATTATGTACTTGCCGAAACCGCCATTAGACAGGCAATCATAGTCAGTCATGTATTAAAATTAAACATTCTTATCAATAGATCTTAGACTTTCGTGTACCTAAATGCTGTATGTGTTAGTAGTAAAAAGTGCCTCACGACCCCTCTGCATAGCAACCCTTGCTAAGGCAATGGGTTTTGCAAGCAACCCCATGATATGCAAAGTTTTAATTCAACTGCCCTCTAGCTATCTTTCCCAGCAGCGCCCTATGTACAATTCTGCATATTCGTAATCCATCAAAGGCAAAGGGGTGCCGTTTAATATACACAAGTGACCCCAAATGCAATATTTTAATGTCCCTAATATCTCCACGTGTATGTATAATCTTAATAACACAGCTTTATAATACAAAATGCATGGAAATACGATGTGTTAGACTTCCGATTGTCGATATTTAGTTCACTCCCCTCATACAACATGACGTTATAACGCTGCACAGAAAGGTCGTACTCATAACTTCGTATGATTGATTGATGAAATTGATTTCTTAAACGCCTGCATTAAAAGTGACTTTAATTTGCACTACAAAGTAGCAAAGCTCTGTCTATCCAATTCCTTTTTAGGTGCCGTTCTCGCAAAAGATTAGGATCTATTTTGTAGGTAACAGACAAAGATAAACAATCGTATCCACAAACCTACAACTACCTTTAAGTTTGAACCGAGTACAATAGAAATAACGAATTGAGAAAGTTAAATATCCAATTAATGTTAGTATGTGTATAAGTCTTGCACTTGTCTCAAGTATTTGGGTTCAGGGAACTAGTTTTAAAAACATTGCTCTCCCTATTTTTACATACTCATAACAAAGTCAAAAGTCTTCAAATTGTCTGAGAGGGTGTAATTAGTGAAATAAAACATAACATCTTCTCTATTTGAAGTAGTCACTAACTTAAAATTTCTAATAAGCGGCTTATAAACTCCAATAATAACAACTAATTGATAATTAAATGTTTTCGGAATTGAAGTGTTTACATTCATTTTTAATAATTTGCAAGAATTTTCAAGTATTCTTTTATTTTAACTCAATAGACTAATACAGACAACTAATGATATACGACGAAGTACCACTTCAGAACAGAAAATAAACGCTTAAAGAATCTTGGTAGCATTATTGTCAGTCAGCTAGACACGCATATAGATCTAGTTCGCGTGAACCGGATATTTTAGACACAAGGCACGTGCAAATGTCCCCCTCCGTCAATTGGACGGGTGCATTATAAAACTGATGCATGATGGGCTATCCGCTTCGTATTGCTGAGAAGGACTATGATAAGTGGCTAAATCCTGTAGCCCCTGTCCTAGATTAACTCTAAAGATAAAAAGGTGCAGGTGGTTAATTTAAAACAGCTGAATTGTTGGTTAACGTGTGCCATCATAGTTTATATTACTGGAACTGTCTAAAAGACTGACAGCACAATTCAGAATTCAAAAAATGAGTCGCCATATTCAAGCACTTAATGTAATTAAAGCCTCCTCCTGGAGGAAAAGGAGTTAATACGAATTGAAAGACGTGAACAGTTGATATCATATGTAGCAGAAGAGCATACGTTTTCCTCTTTTTATGAAAACAAATTCCCCGAAATATTAAAAGCATGGCATACAAAGATGGCAATTCTATTAGATTTCAATTGAATGAAACAAAAAGTTAACGTTGACAAATTCTGGTTAAAAAACTGCGTGTCCACCAACAACTGGGTCCCTCCTTATAATCTATTCTCATAAAATAACGTGTCCTGATTTACTAATTGATTCATGAGCGCAAACTATCTATGCTACAAACGCGAAATTGGACGGATATTTACTAACTTCACCTTATATTTATCAAAAACTATTCTAAGGAATTGCAAGTGCCGAAGTAATTATTGAAAGGAACTAAACTATGCCACGTACAGACGTACACTCAAATTGCAATAACTTTCTTAAAGCCTTAGCTATGGAACGTGCTTAAAATTACCCATCCGATGACAAAACAGTGACAGTTTTGATTTCAAGAATAAATGAGTGTTGAAACAACATACGTGACTGCGATTCGCCCTAAATGTTGCTAAGTAGGAACGTGTCGATCGATACACTTCGCTGAAAAAAAGCATGTCTCGTGTTGCTTTGTCTAATGGTTTGTGTCCTAATTAGATAATGCTATTATTATTTGGCGTGCTTGAATGGTGAAAAGAGACATGTGAAAATGTATTTGTAAACAAAATAAAAATGTTTTCGGACTCGTCGAAAGTCGAAGAAAGAGAGTGAACGCACGACTGCCAATTAGAGCATTTTGGAACTCTGTTCAGTAAAACAACACCCAAAAAATAAAATATGAGATAAAAATATCAACTTAGAAATTGCTGATAAGCACAAGCACGGAATCTGGAAGTATTCTCCTCGCAGAGTTGTACAAGGAACTGTTATAAGGAATGACAAAAGTAACACAAAGAAAGAAAAGCCTAATATTATGTTACAGTTATACACGATAAAAACCATAAAAGACTTGATAAGACCGAAAATCGATAGTTGCATGTACCTACGTGGTGGAAATCAATAACAAAGAAATGAAAACTTACAACAAAGTTTACAGGTATAAATGACTGTCGATGAATATAATTGCATGCTCGATTGGAATACTTGTGCTAAAATGGTACATGAATTCACTTGACAAGGTTTTGTTGTCTATTTATTCTAGGAATAGAGTCTGCTAAATTCTTAGTTAAACAGAAATACTAGACGTTAAATGAAATATCGTATTCGTTAAGTTATAGGCAATGAGTAATCATTACAGATAAATCGGTTTCTATAACCGCAAACAAAAACCCACGCATATAACCACACTTTGCAAGATCCGGTTTTTACACATTATTGTGAATTTTACTATAGATTACCAACTATCCTGCAAAATATGCACTTATCTGTGGCATTTTACAAAGTAGAGCAAATTCATGAACTTGCTAATTTTCTAATGATTATCTACGGCACTGAAAGAAGTAAAAAGAAATATTATTATAAGAATGTAAATAACATTTTTAAGTTATTTTTTGTTGCTGTTTTATTAATGGCATTGTTTTGTTTTCATTTAATAAAAAATATAGAAAATTAATAGCTTAGTAGTTATGATTTTTGTGAAAAATGTTAGAATTTAAAACTTCTTTAGATTTGATTTCACATCTAACTGCCACAAATCGAGAACTCTATAATATCCTATAGGATAAAAACGCGCGTCCAAATCAGTTTGTGATTAAATCAAAGTGAAATAAGAGGTTTTAAAAGTATAAAAGAGGGCAAACAATACAAAACCCTAGTTTGAAATAACAATGCGATCATAGAGTGACCTTTTCACAAACAATTGTGACGTTATAGTTGTGAAACTGACTAGTTACGTCACGCAATGTAAGATAATTATGCACAGTGTTCAC